TTATTAAATTATTTTTAAAAATTATTGAATAAATAATGATCATATACATAATTATTATTTATTTAATATATCATGATTAAAAATTAATATATCATGAGTAGAAACAGTAAGTCATACACACAAACATACACACATATTTTCTCTAGCTCTATGTATGTATGTATGTATGTATGTATGTATGTATGTATGTATGTATGTATGTATGTATGTATGTATGTATGTATGTATGTATGTATGTATGTATATATATATAAATATATATACATATATATATATATATATATATATATATATATATATATATATATATATATATATATATATATATATATATATATATATATATATATATATATATATATATATCTATAAATATATATATATATATATATATATATATATATATATATATTATATATATACATATATATATATATATATATATATATATATATATATATATATATATATATATATATATATATATATATATATATATATATATATATATATATATATATATATATATATATGTTTATATATGTATATAAATATATACGCATATATATGTATATATATGCAGCCCTGGATTTACCTATAAGCCGACTTGGCTGCGGTCTAGGGCCCCGCGATTTTTTGAGGTCCCAAAATTTAAGTGAAAAATGTTTAAATTTGCTAAGTAAAGAATAAAGTAATGAACTTTTAGCATGTATTTTTAAAACTTATTATTATGCGGACATAGATAGAAACATGCATAAACTTAAATGTTCTCAAACATCTAAACAAGCCATGGCCAAATTGTGTAGATATGCGTGGTCCGGAACACAGTGCAATCGCACGCCTTTCTTGACCAAACCTGTTACTTTAGTTATTTTATTTTATTTATAATATTAATCAATTACACAAAAGTGGATTTCAAAAGCGGAAGAAAAAAGCTGAAAAAGCACAAGAATTTAAAAAAATTCAGAAACTTTATGGTTTTTTGGTGAAAATCGGAAGTACAGAGCCTGTAAATCGCTCTATTGAAACAGAACAATCAGTTTCAGAAAATGATCATCAATTGCAAGAAGTCACACGTTCTCCTGAATTAACCATTAATAGCTGTAACTTAAACATTAACCGAAAAGATGACATGTGTTGAATTAAATTAGTTAAAAGTACTGTTATTGATCTTTAAATTTTTTTTGTTTAGCATTTCATACCAGTACTATTCGACATTTATAAAAAAAAAATTGATAGAAGACATTATATAAGTTACACTGAGTGCCAATTTTCAAAATTTATGTTAACAATAATGGTGTTTTAAACAAAAAACTATTAGATGTTCACTGAGCGCAAGTTGCCACTTTGTATAAAAAGTTTTAAAAACCTAATCTGAAAACACATGGAAAATTCATAGCTTTTACAAATATGCAAAAAATGTCAATTATAAAACATGTTATGTTACGTTAATCATATGTAGTGCCTTTGGTCAAATCGTCTCTTGTTTTGTTTATAAAGCTGACCATTTATGGACTACAAGAACCGAAAGTGGACCACCTAATGTACAATTTTTTTTTTTTTTTGCCAAATAATAATATTAATAAAACAAATTTTAACATATTACAAATTTAGCGGCAGGACTTCTAGAAGATCGTGAGGATCTTATCATGAAGCCATTTACAATGCTTTTTAGTATCGAGTATAATATAATATAAATACGTAGTATTATAATGAAGTTATAAAAATTCGTAAAATAACAAAAACAATATTATAAAGTTTAACAAAACAGTATATATCGAGTATAATATAATATAAATACGTAGTATTATAATGAAGTTATAAAAATTCGTAAAATAACAAAAACAATATTATAAAGTTTAACAAAACACAGTATTAAAAAGCAATAAAATACAAACATAAAATCCATTAAATACATAAGTTTGCAAAGAAATCATGGAAATATTCGTAAATAGTAAAACATAGTATAGTAAAATCTAATATACCAGCAATAATGATAAAAATTCAAAAATAGATAAAGATATTTTCAATTGAAAAGATAATTTCTTTAATTTTGGTTTTGAATGCAGAGTAGTTTAGTTTGATTGAAAAGTCAAAATTAAGTAAAACTATTTTGTTCCAAATCAGAGCTCCACGATAGGACATACAAAATTTGTCGTATTTAGTTTTGCAAAAGGGAGCATTAAAATTGCCATCAATTCGTAAATTATATTTGTTTTTCGGTTTTAAAGAATAAAGATATTGAAATACCTGTGGAGATAAATTTACACTTGAACATAAGGCATTAAATATTAAAAATATTAAGTTGATAAACATTTAAAGCTTTCATATCTTTAAGAAGTGGCGCAGAATATGTAAGAGTATGTAAGAGTAATGTAAAAGTAATGTAAGAGTATGTAAGAGTATGTAAGAGTATGTAAGAGTATGTAAGACGATTTCTAAAATTCAGTTTTATGAAGATCATTTAAATATGTTATAAAGAGAAGAGGTCCAAGTATGGAGCCTTGTGGAACACAACACGTTATATTCATTAACCCTTGAGACGAGGATTATTTATTATAAGCATACTGCTTACGATTTGTAAGATTGAGGGTGTTATCTTTTATTCTATATGATAATAATTTTTTTTTTAATTTGATGGCTGACGGTATCAAAAGCTTTAGATAAGTCAATAAATACTCCTAATGTGAAATTTTTTTAAAAGATTCTGAGATATTGAGCGTAAGTTAGAGTATAGCGTATTCTATTGAATTGTTTTTTTTTTAAACCAAATTAATTTTCGTATAAGCTTTTATTATAAATTAGATGGTCATAAATTCGATTATACATTATTTTTTCTAGAACTTAAAAAAAAAACTGAAAGAACTGAAATAGGGCGATAATTATTTATGTTCGTATCTCCTATCTTGTAGACAGGAAATACTTTAGCTGTTTTTAGACAATCTGGAAACATTCCTTGACTGATGGATGCTCTAAAGATTTTGAAAATAATGTGTTTTATAACATCACAAAAGTTTATTATAATATTCACAATACAATCAAAGTCCGGACGGTTTGATTCTATTCGCTTTTGTTTATGTTTTTTGTAAAGCAGGAACCAAATTTAATATAATCTAAGAAATCTTTTTAGTAAAAAACTTGAATTAACTAAAGAAAAAAGTATCTTGTTATGAAGAAAACAGTATCTTGTTCTATAACTTGTACCTCTAACCCATTTATTACAACTTCTTGATGTTGCATTTTATAGACCTCTTAAAAAATATTACAGGATAATTCTTGATCAATCCAAAACTTCTTGCTTGAAAAAGGCACTGACAATTACAAAAAATAAATCTTTTTCGTTCTAACTTTATTTGCTATAAACATTATACTCATCAGATCAAAAGGTAATCAGAATCTTAGTAGCTTAGTGGTTTTGAAAAAAAAAAAACAAAAAAAATATAACTGATTGTGATAAAAACATTAAAACAGTAGTCGCAAAGCAGTAATTAATGTACTTTAACAATTGTGTTGTGTTGCTGTCAAGAAAAATAGAGACTCAAAGGGGAAAAAATTTTGACCTTCAAAAAAGTATTTTTTTTTGAGGAAATATAAAGATATTTCACTTGCATTGTCTATAAGAGAAAATAATGTAAATTTTATGCTAATCTTCTTAAAACATATCCATTAAAACAAAAAAAGAAACCAAATGGGTGTTTATTATGAAATATTTTATTATTTTATTTTAGCAATAATAAATTCATGTGAAACTAGACTGTTGTTTTTATTAAATTTCAAAACAAAACAAGGTGTTTTTGAATTGGTTTCGCTTTTACAGAAAACATATTCAAAGTTACCCCACTTATGGGGTATATATATATATATATATATATATATATATATATATATATATATATATATATATATATATATATATATATATATACAGTATCGGACAAAACAAGTGCAACCAAATAATGCTAATTTAGTTTCTTTATATAAAAGTGCTGCATTTTTTCAATTTAGAGAAATAACTATGTAACTGTTTAGAGACAACGTTTTTCAAGTTTTGTTCATCACAAAGTTCATTATTTGTACACGAAAATTAATAAATTATTCAAAAGTATTAAAAAAAGTTGATTTCCTTCTAGACAAAACAAGTGCAACTCCACAAAATGTTGACCAAGCTGTATTTCGCAATCAATATTTCGTGGCGAATGCTTTGTTGTTGATCACAGCCTTGCATCTTCGAGGCATAGATTTAATCAGGTGATCAATGAAACTTTGTGGAATCACTGCCCAGGCCTTTTGGATTTGGAGTTTAAAAAAGAGTGCACTAGAGAACAAATAAGTTTCACTTTTAGGGTGTAAGAACAGATCAGTGTTTTCAAAACATCTCTCAAAAACAATTTATGTATTAACAACTTTTAATAGTCTTTGCGTTAAAAAATTTATTGAAAACAGCGTCATTTAAAACATTTTTTAAAAACACTGCTTTTTAAAACAACTCTCGATGCATTTTCTTTTGAAAAAACAAAAAAGAAAAAAAAAGTATTATCTTTAATTGTCTTATTCCAAAAATAAATAAATTTTATTATATCCACAAGTCTATACACAAATAAGTTTATTATCAATGAATTTATGGAAAAAAAATCAACATTTCTGCAATGAGCACGAGCGTACAAATTCAAGTCAAGTTATATTTAGGAAGAGTTTTTTTCTGTATGAAGTTTTTTTCTGTATGAAGGTTTAAACAAAAAAGATAAACGCGTAATAAAAATCGCAAGAACAAAGTAGCAAAAATCGCAGGTCAACTACGATTAAACACTTTTATACAAAAGTAAAAAATAAATTATATAAATTATAATTAAAACACATTTATCATAAAAATAAACTTCAAACTAAAACACAATAAAATTAATTAAATAAACTAAAATGTTGCATAAAATTAGAATTAGAGATTGCAATAAATTAAAACAAGAGTTGAATAAAAAACAACCAACAAAAGAGAAGAATTTTTTTTTAAATATATCAAATTATCAATTCATATTTTAAGAACTTAGCTAAATTAAATGAGGTAATTACTTAAACAAAATGATAATTTTTCTCTCATAATAAAATTTAACTCAAGTTTAAAAATTTTTTTTAATCAAAATACATAAGCCAAAACTATGCATCTCCAAACTCGTTGCTGCTTTTGAGAAGATGTCGAATAGCAAGGTCTTCTGGTAGAAAAAAAGTCAACGAAGAAAGTTTTTCGAGTGTTGTCAAAACTTCGTCAAAACCTGAAATTTTATTATACCAATATATTCTTTAATTGATTTTTCTTTTTTATTTATAATAATTATAAACGATATTTAGATAATAAAACAAAAAATGATGAAATGAGTATTGAGTAAAAAGAGACGCAGAGACCCAGTCCCCTTTATCCTGACTAAGTACAAGATAGTTTGAACTAATCATTGAAACATTTAAAAAAATAAATATCGGTTGTTGCAATAACTTTATAGATATTAAATAAGGTCTTTAATAAAAATATTTATTTGGAATTTTTTTTTGATGTAGAAAAAAAAATATTGTTTGTTAATCTTTAATTTTACTCTTAATACTGCTCTAAGTGGTTGTTCTGTTTTTTATTTATTTTTCCTAACTCTTGATACCTCTTCTCAATATACTACTGTAAGTGATTGTTCTGTCTAATGTACTGCTAATAAGTGATTGTTCTGTCCGTGAGGCATACTTTAAGAACTAATTTAAACTATGCACGATAATTGGCGATATACATTGCACAACGTGATTTTTCAACTACTAATAACTTTGAGCTCAGTCGCTTAGCTATACCAACTCAAACACTGCAGCGTAGTAACTAATTAGCTATACTAACTCATACACTGCAGCGTAGTAACTAATTAGCTATACTAACTCAAACATTGCAGCCTAGTAACTAGTTAGCTATACCAACTCAAACACTGTAGCCTAGTTACTAGTTAGCTATACCAACTCAAACACTGCATCCTAGTAACTAGCTAGCTACATGACTCAAACACTGCAGCCTAGTAACTAGTTAGTTGAGCTGTGGTAGCAGTACCATGTGGTTCGATTCCTGTCTCTGCAACTCATATAACAGACGTGTTTTTTATTTATAAATAAATAAATATATATATATATATATATATATATATATATATATATATATATATATATATATATATATATATATATATATATATATATATATTTATATACTAATTTTTTTTTTTTTAATTATATATCGTCGCATGTGAATTATAGGGTTCTATCTGCATTTTTTATGTTGTAAGAACTTAACTTTCGATATTTGTTAAAATATCGAAAGTTAAGTTCTTTGTTGTTAAAATGTTTTAATGTTATTCTTTATAATTATAAATTATAAGTCCTTTATGTTATTTAGGTTTCATTATTATACATATATATTTTTCAAGTTATTTGTTTTTATTATCAATTATTAATTAACACTTTAATTGTTAAATTCTTTTAACATAAAAATAGGCAGATAGATCTCATGAAGCGATATTTCAATTGTAATATTGTAATTAGTTTCATGATGAAGATAGTTCCTTAATGTATAAAATTAATGCAAGGAGAATCTGCATATAAACAGTTATGATTTTATGAGGTTTATGAGGTTTAGTGAATGTATATAAATAAAAATAGTTTCCCTAAAAATTCATAATACAATTGATAAAAATAAAAAATAAATAAGAAACAAATTTCTAAAATACTTTAACATATAAACTATAAAAATTTTAAAAAATTATTTGAAAATTAGGAATAAAGAAAATGTAAATTAATAAAGACCTGTTCGAATGACATATGACCATCGTTCATAATGATTATCAACCAGCTCAGGACACCTTATAACAAGTCGAATCCATTGAGCTAATCTACCACGATTTAATGCAGCAGATATTAAAGCTTTAAACATTGCATCAAAACTGCGCTTGCGAGGTTCATGAGTAGTTTTGATCCGATGAAGTACAGTAAGAAGTGACTGAAAATTGATAAAAATATTTTCAAAAATTTATTTAAAAATTAATTTTGTCATTATTTATCTTTTTTTTTTTAATTATAATTTATTATAAGTATATTATTACTTATATAACAATAATAATATATATTATAATATATAATAATAACAATAAGCAATTATTAAATTTAATTAAAATAAATAAAACTCTTTAATTATTAAACTATTTATTTAAACCCAATTTTTAGCTTTAAATTATTTTTTAAACATACTTGTTTGGGAGTTTGTTGTGTACAACCAACGTCCATAGCAAATGCTTCTGATAACATCATACTTGGTTGTGTATTGAAAATGTCGCCTTGCTAAAATTAACAAAAAGAGCTATTTATATTTACAAATATACATGTATGTGTGTGTATATCTTATACTGCTGAGTTAGGTGAGCATGATGATGTCATACTCACCTAACGTCAAATAGCCTGCTGCCGGGGGCTTCAGTACATACATCGACTGACAAATATCCAGACTCGCAGTCAGGTGCTGCTACAACGACTGAGGGTTTGGTATGGGTCAGCAACCTTTTCATTCATTATTCTTCGTTTTCCCTCATCATTTTCTAAAAACGCTCACTTAATTTAGGCTAGCAAAAAAAGTGAGCAATTGCGCATATAAGTATATATATATATATATATATATATATATATATATATATATATATATATATATATATATATATATATATATATATATATATATATATATATATATATATATATATATATATATATATATATACAGTGCTCGAAGTGGAGCATTGTATATATATATATCACTGTATATATAAACCATCCCGCTACTTATAAAAAAGTGGCGGGATGGTTTATACTTTATAAAAAGGTGACAGGATGGCATATATATATATATATATATATATATATATATATATATATATATATATATATATATATATATATATATATATATATATATATATATATATATATATATATATATATGTATATATATATATATATATATATATATATATATATATATATATATATATATATATATATATATATATATATATATATATATATATATATATATATATATATACATTCATTCATACATACATACATGCATACATACATATAGCTTCTGACATAATATATATATATTTTTAATCATCCTTATACTAGAGGCAAGTTTTTTTGCAGTTAAGCAAATTAAAAATCAGTAAAATTTTTTTTAAAGAAATTCATCAAGAAAAAATAAAAATATATTTTGTCTGAAGCTAGTGCATTGTGTTTGATATATTGATAATATTTAATATTTGAAGAAATATTCAAATGTGATGAATCCAGTTTTATCATTTTTCTCACTAATGAAATGAAATTGAATTCTTTAACAAGTAGCTAAAGGTCGGAATGGTAAATAAATAAAATAATAAATAATAAATGAAAATAACAACTTCATTTTTTTTACGTAAACAATCATCTTTTCAATTGTTTAAAACTTCTTAAAGAAATTCTTTTAATTTTTGGTAGTCTAAAATGTAAGCTGTAGCTTATTAAATAAGCGAATGAGCTTATTTTGAAAACTCGGCTTATGGTCTTCTAATGTAATATATGCTTGAGTTAGTGTAACTGATTTCTAACAACTGACTTAATTATTTTAACAATATTTTGGCATAATTGATTGTATTTTCTGAATTTCATAGATCATCCAGGTCATATTTTAAAAACCTGGAAAATTGTTTGGATAAAATATCCGGAAAAAATTTGAAATATGTTTTCCCTTCAGGGTTTAAATAAATAAATCAAAATAAATCAGGGCCTCAACTTGAAAAAATCAGAAAAAATATTATTAAAATTTTCAAAATTATTGGCATCCTATCGAAATAAACACTATAAAAAAATTGTAAATTTTCTTGATGTCAAATTTAAACTCTCAGAAAATTCTTATAAGCCTTATAAAAACCTAATGATGAATTATTGTATACTAATATAAATTCAAATCACACCCCTTTAATCCTATACAATTAACTGTTCCTATTTCAATTAACATTATTTTTAATTCAATTAACAATAGACTAAAGCAAAACTTTTCTAATAAAAATATTTTTAACTCTTCTAAACATTTATGAAGATGCTCTGTAAAAAAGGAGATTTAAAAAATTCAAGCTAAAATTTGAAACAAAAATTGCAAAAAAGCAAAATAGAAATAGAATTATAATTTGGTTCAACCCTCCATACAGCAAAAATGTTATAATAAATATTGCAAAAGTGGTTTTAAATTTAATAGAAAAAAATTTCCCTCCCACAAATAAATTGCACAAAGTTTTCAACAGAAATTAAAGAAAATTATAGCTGTACAAAAGATATAGAAAGAATTTAAAAAAAGCCACAATATTGCATTGATTAATAAAAATGAATTTCTTAAAGAAAATAAATATGAAAAGTTGTAATTGCCCTAAGAATATTTATCCAAAAACATAATTTACAAATGTATTGTTTACTCTTAAAATAACCCTGATAAACGATATATTGACTTAACCAAAAGCATATAGAATCAAACATTTTGCCAACCACAAACAATCTTTTAAACATAAAAAATACTTTAAAGAGGCTATGTTGTCAAAATATATTTGGCAATTAAAATAAAATAATTTTATACTGAACTGGTTATTCTATAAACTGCACCTGTCTATAATAATATTTCCAAAAAATGTATGCTATGTTTGCAAGAAAAATTTGAAGTTGTTACCCATACGAATTAAAAAAATTTACTAAACATAAAATCTGAATTAATTTTTAAATGCAGTCATAAAAATAAATACTTTTTAAAAAATTAAAACAAATGACCAAACTAAAATTATTTAAATTCTAAAGAATTCTTTTTCACAACTAATTTTTTGAAAAATAATGTAGCTAATGTTACTTTCTGGTTGTAACATAACTACAGTTTTTATAAAATTAATTATAACAATTCCCAACTTCCTGTGAAAATTTTTCTATAATTTGAATTTTTTGATATTTAGACATAAACCTGATGAACCTGCTGAAGGTAAAACAGACTGCAGAAGAAAATTTGATAAGTGATTTCACTAATTTTATATATATAACAGGTTATAACTAAAAAACGGTAATGACTTTGAAGACAAAGTTATATAACATTTATATTAATAATGGTTGCAATCTTACCTTTGTTTTTCAATTCTCTACAAAACATGTTTTGTAATTATTTAAATTAAAAGAATTTTAATTTTAGAAATAATTTTAATTAAAATTATTTCTATTGTTACAGAAAAAAATGAAAGAAAAACAAGAAGAAGAATATTTGTACAGCTTTTATTTTAAAAATCGATCTAAAGGGAAAAGTTTACAATTGATCACTTTCTTGCTAAAAAAAATTTCTATTAACACCATCTATACCATTATTTGACATGCTGAAAATAATTATGGGCACCAAAGAGTCCCTGGAAGTGGTAGGATTGCTAAAATATTAACAAAAAGGAACATTGAAGGACTTAAAACAATGTTTGATCACAAAGATGGCATATCGCATCACAAGCAGCTCAGAAATTTAAGTGCACCCAAGTATATTTCAGCAAAATATTAAAAACAAATTCCTTAATCAGGCCAAAGAAGAAGAAAACTCCATTCAGAATTTGTGACCAAATAAAGACAGTTCAAACAAAGTGCGGTCGGCTGTATCCAATTTCTGCCAATAAATTGTTAATACTTGACAACAAATTTTACTTCGCATTTAACCACTTTTTAACAATTTTGATTAATGGAAATGATACTAATCATTCAAGTGATGCTTCTCAAACACAAACAAGTGTCAAATTCAACACCACAGCAAAATATGAGAAGAAATAACTTGTTTGGCTTTTTCGATAAAAGAGTATTTTTTTAAGTGGCTTTGCAATCAACCAAGAAGTCTACAAAAATAGTTGTATCAAGAACAAACTAATTCCATTTATCAAAAGCATCATTCCGATGGCGCATACATATTTTGGCCTGATCTGTCACATCTTATTACGCAAAATCTGTACAAAACTACACGAATGAGAAAAAGATCATTTTTGTCAAAAGAGAAGATAACCCAGCAAATATGCCTGAATGCCGTCTGATTGCAGATTTTTGGAGTTTTCTCAAAAGAAAAGTGTATGAGAATAATTGAAAATCTGATAATCTTGAGAAATTGCACAACAGAATAAAGTATTGTCTTTCTAAAATGGAAAAATCTCTTGCACAGCGCTGAGTCAACTCGGCGTGGTTTAGATTATGTAAGGCATAATGGTTTGATTGAAAAAAATTAATATGCAAATAAATTGCCCACCTGAAATACTATTTTTTTCTTTTTAAAATTGAGTTTTTATCTCATATACCAAGGAGTTATGTCCCTTTAAAGTTATTACCGTTTTTTAGTTATAACCCGCTGTATATATAAATATATACACTATATCTATATATATATATATATATATATCTATATATATATATATATATATATATATATATATATATATATATATATATATATATATATATATATATATATATATATATATATATATATATATATATATATATATATATATATATGGGCGATTCTAATAAACTCTATAACCCTTTTTTTAACAACTTATAAATGCTTTTAAGCAAAAAAGCTATTTATAAAAAACATTTTATAATACATAACATAGTTTTAAAGGTGTAAGGGTTGTAAAAGATGTTTTGACATTTATATACAGTCCTGCTGTGTAGCGTTAAAAATCGTATCATAAAACCATAATTGAGAAATTTGATATTGTTCAAAAGTTCGAAAGTTGTTTTGTTCAAAAGTGGCAAAAAGTAAACGTTACGACCGCTACGCTACATAGAGTTAATTTTTGAAAAAAGTTCAAGACTTTAATGCTGTAAACTATGCATACTAAATTATATGATAATATTTCACAATTCTGGAAAGTTTCAAGTCATTTCCATTTTCAGTTCATTTTTAAAAGCTTAAAGAGTGTCAAATGTTACGACCGTCACTCTCGTGGAGTTGCCCATATATATAAATATATATAAATAAACATATATATATATATATATATATATATATATATATATATATATATATATATATATATATATATATATATATATATAAATATACATTTATATAAATATATATATATATATATATATATATATATATATATATATATATATATATATATATATATATATATATATATATATATATATATATATATAGACACACACACACACACACACACACACATATATATATACCAATCAAAAAGTTTTGTGCAGATTGAAGAAAAACAAAATAAAAATGTACATTTGTATATAACAAAGTATAACCTTTAGTTGATAAAACTTATTAAAATATTCCCAAATATGTAGGCTAAGACCTTCAATTGATTGTGACGACATACATCCTACAAGTGCTTTTGTTGAAAGTGTTGCATTCGAAAAACTCTAAAAAAAGAAACAAAAACTATAGACACTTAATATTTTAACATTTTTAAAGTTGATGTTTGATTTTTTTTTTTATCCATTTTAACATTAGATTAAAAGCTTTTAAACTTAAATTAGGTCATGGCTTCAAATATTATTTGATATTTTGATTTTAATATATTATAAACTAAAACACGGAAATTATATTTAGTTGCGAAAAACTGGCCATGTTTTTTAGCCGTTTTGAGAACATTTAAGTTTATGTACAAAACAAAAAATTTTTTGTTTTACGGACATACATGGAAACATAAAAAACTTGAATGTTCTCAAAACATCTTGGGGTGTGATAATAAAAAGAATATTCACGAACACTAAAAAACCGCCAAATTAACAAACAAACTAATTCTATTGGTTCAAAAATTACGCTGACTAATATTTTAAAAATTGTATTACTCACGACTTGCTACGTTTTGAGATTTCTTGCATAAATTGTTTTAATATTATATAATAACAATTGTATCAACACTATGGCTCATTTTCGGAGCCACACTGCAAAGCTGTAAAACTTATAAACTATTATAATTTGTTGACAAAAATAAATGTTTTAAATATATATTATTTAAATTGTCAAAATTTTGAAAGTTTATTATAAATTATAGATTTTATTAGTATATTTTTATTTTTTATTTAAAAAGTATGTATTTTTTATGTAAATGTATTAAAAAAAATAGGTATTAAAAAATTAACTTTTTGATTGTTTAAGATGTTACTTTATATAAAAAACGTCGTTTAATTTTATAAAAAAATTATAAAAGAGCGATGTTTCGAAAATATTTGTTCTAAACATAATTTATTTTGCTTTAAGTTTTTTCGCGTTAAAAGATACTTTTCTAATTTTTTTTTGTAATTGTCTCTCATCGGTCCAATTAATCTTTTGTGTAATTTTTTTTTGCTTTTTGAAATGTTCTCAAAACAATAATATTTTTGTGGTCAGCAACCCAGAGCAATCACTCCCGCTTCCCGACCAAGCCTGATTAATAGCAAGTTGTTTTGATTTACAACTAAATTAACAAAAAAGTTATATAAAAATTTTGTGGGAGAACAACTAGGCCTACAACGCTATAAGCTAAAACAAATGCTGAGTCAGATGAGAATCCTCAATATGAAAAACATCCTGAGTCATGATGAGAATCCTCAATATGAAAAACATCCTGAGTCATGATGAGAATCCTCAATATGAAAAATTACTTTAAAGACCATAAATATTTGTAGAAGTGAAATTTGTAAAAATTTGGTAATTTTTGTTTCTTTAACATTTTCATGTTTATTTGTGTTACAGATTATAGACTCATTCATAGATATCATTCATAGATTTGAATGAAATTAATAATTTGATTTTTATGAGAATTTTAAATTTCCTGTTTTTTTTTATAGATTATTTTTGTCAATTAATTTTCTTATCAAGTTTTCATAAAAAGAAGATTTTTTTTTCATAATTTGATAAAAAATTTGTTTTTCTTCTAATAGAAATTTAAATTATAAAAAAAATCTTATTCCTAAGTAAAGTTATAGATATAAAAGTAGATATACACCAATTGGTGGCCAAATTTCTAAAGTGGCAAAAATTACCCCATGTCAACAACATTGTACAACATATGATGATAAACATGTGTGTCAACAACATTGTACAACACATGATGATAAACATGCGTGTCAACAACATTACACAACACACAATGATAAACTCAGCAACTTATCAAACTGCTTTAGTGAACAAGCAAAATTTGGTTTGGTTCTGGCCACAATTTTGACAGAATTTTTAGCTTCCAGTTATATTTAAGATTTTAGTTCAAGCTGGAATTTAAGTTATTATTACTATAATACTTTTTCCCTACCATGTGTAAGCATGTGTAAGCTAGTTTTACTAGTTTTTAAGTTAAAAAAATTTTTAATCAAATTGACTTATTAAAAGAGCTATTATTAAAAGCTCAATCGGAGTCAAGCCAAAAATCCAGTCAATGTTATTGAGAACTACTTCCTTGAAAACTTTAAAAAAAATTTATTATTTTTTAAAAACCATACCACACACAAACCATGCTGAAGAATTTCTTTTAATGCAGACGTCAGATTACCACGAACAATTCGTATCAGTTGATTTTGAATTTCAACTTCGGGAGGCTTTAAAATCAAAAAATAATGCAAATAAATAAAGATAAAAATTTAAAACTATTTAGCATAGAAACATGACATCATATAGAAACTTTGTGAGGGCTTCAACACATATATTAACTGAATACCTAGGTAAAATATGCAAGGAGTGCTGCTAGATCAACTAGTAAATGACCTGGGCTGTTATTTGACTGAGGCCAAGGCGGGATCTACGGGCGGTACTGCACAAACATTGGTGCATGTTGGTTGGTTTTTATATATCATATCAATATGCATCAATATTTTTACAACCCCAGCCATAACCCTTGCTTTTGCTCAGGTCGAATACTAGCCCCGGTCGTTTACTAACATCAACTTGGGGTTTGCATGTTTTCTTTATTATTCATTGATTTTTTTCACTAATATTTCACATGTGTGTATATATATATATATATATATATATATATACACACCGTGAAATGTGGTTACTTTGGACAGTGGGGCAATTTAGAACAAAAGCTTTGAGTAAAACTAATTCTAGTGTTTAAAAAGCTCCTTTTTTTAAATAACAGAATTTCTTAAATGCAGACAAATTTTACTTAATGGAACAAAATATAAAATATAATGCATTCTGAGCAGCGAACCATTTTAATAGAAAGTTAAAAACTTTATATATTCTTTTTTTTTTTTCACTGATCAACTTTAGTTCTCTTCAGATAAAATTTGAAACATTTAAACTTTTTTAAAGATTAATACCTTTATAATATTTAGTTAAATACTTCATGGCATGACTTTAAGTATTTTTTTGACAGTTAAACAATCCAAAAAAAATATGAAGGCTGAAGAAAAAATTTTAAACTATATAGTGACATTTGTTCAGGGTTGGCAAAAACCCGGGTTTTTAAAAAAAAAACCCAGCCCAGTGGGTTTTTTTGGGTACTTTTAGGTTTTTTTTGGATATTTTCTGGGTTTTTTTATTTTTTATTTTTGTTAAAATTTTTTGTTTGTTTGTTTAATAATATTGAAAACTAATATCATTTTTAATTTTAAGTTTATTTAAAATATATTTTATATGTTTTTAAAATTTATAACAAAACCTCAAATTATTTTCAATAAGTTTTTTTAATTACAGTTTAAAAAATGATTTTAAAATGTAACAAAATAAAATAAAATCTCACGGTAAACCTATATGTATTGATTTATTTTAGATTTAATAATATTTTTTATAATTAAAAATGCCAATGGGAAGTGGGAGAAAGAAAACTGGAGAATGGGATGAAGTGACTGAAATTGAAAACAGTACAAAGGTTTCTTGTGACTATTGTCATGCTTAGATTAGCAACAAAATAGAATGAGTAAAACCCCATTTAAAACATTGCCGAAAAAGTTTAAGTTTTTACACAAGCATACAGAAGGGAACAATCTCAATTTGTCAAAAAATTTAAATAAAAAATGTGATGATGTACCAAATAATGATTTAAATATTAGTGCATCTGCTCTAATAGCTGGACCATCATCTCAAGTTCGAAAAAGTTCTTTGGTATCTGTAAGTTCTATAAGTTCGTTAACACCTTGTAAGAAGCAGCGGTTGATGTCATTGTACACAATATCAACTAATATGGAACAGAAAGAAAATATTGATATAAAAATAGCAAAATTTTTCTTCAGTGCAAATGTATCATTTAAAACTTCTGAAAATCAAGAATTTATAGACATGATCAATTCATTGAGATCAGGATATAATCCAGGAGACTGTAAAATACTTGGAGGAGAGCTCTTAGAAAAAGTTTATAAGGAAGTAAAAAAAAAATGATGGATCAACTTACCTAAGAAGAGAAAACAATAATAATTATGCAAGATGGATGGAGTAGTCTTACTAATGAAAATCCCATTATTGCTCATAGTGCATATGACGGACTTAATTCTAAAATTTTATGCATTACTGATTGTGCATCAAATAAAAAAATAGCCAAGTATTGTACCGAACTCCTTTGTAATGTCATTAAAGATCCTAAAGAAACATACAACAAAGAAGTATTCACAGTAGTAACAGATAATGAAAATAAGATGAAAAAAATCAGGGATTCAATCAAAGAATCGCATCCAAATCTTTTAACATATGGGTGTTCTGCAAATTATTTAAACTTTTTAGAAAAAGAAGTAACACACCCAGATGTCATCAAACATGTGGTTGAAGTGCAAAAATATTTTCGCAATACACATCAACCGCATGTAAACATTATTTTGTATTTGTGGGTTAAACTTAAAGTATAAAAAATATATAAAAGTTTAAAATTAACTATTCAATTTTTATTTTAAGGGATGGTTGTGTGAGAAAGGAGGGCATATGCCTCAGTTACTAAATGATACCCGATGGAACTGCCAAATTGACTGTATAGAAACATACATAAAAAACTACCAAATTTATGTAGAAATAGTAGATAATCGTGATATACCTATCAAAATCAGAAAAAGTATTGAAAATCAAGTAATATTTAGAGAAGCTAACAGTCTTCAAACCCAACTCAAAAATATTTGGTGTTGTTTTAGATCAAGTATTTAATTTTTTTATATTAAAGTTTTTTTACATAATAAGATTTTGTAGGTGTAAAGGAAAAGTAATAAAAATAAATATATTATGTTGATTAAATAAATTAAATAATTTTTTAGATGCAAAGTGACAGCTGTCACCTATCAGAATGTGTTGAGTTGTGGCTCTCACTTCTGAACAACCCTGAACTAAGTCATTACCACACAGCTATCAAAAAGAGATTTAATGATGCTATAACACCTATTCATTATCTTGCATACATGACCAATCCTCGATGGAGGACCAATCCTCGCTTTTTGGGTAAAAATAAGTTTTGCTTTAAAAAAAAAAAAAAAATTGTTTTCACACCTATAAACTAATCTTAATTTTTTTTTTATACGCAAAAACCTGCCGATTGAAAATAAAGATGCGGCTGAAGAATATTTTTTCAATCATTATCCTGATTTTGTACCTGGGTTGATTTTGCTTAAATTAAAGGATTGTGATGCATTTTCTAAAAGGATGTTGAGCAATCAAATTATATTAACAATATAGTGCAGTAATGGTGGTCAATCATTAACCAGAGAAATGAAAAATCAATTCAGAAAAAAATTGTCTGAAGGATTTTGCAAATTTATTTTTAAACTTCAAACGCACCCTACTAGCTCAGGATCGATAGAAAAAATATTTTCTTTGTTTGGTTTTATTTGGTCAAAAGTTAGAAATAAATTAGGATGTTAAAAGGCTAAAAAGCTTGTGCAAATATATAGACAGTATCAAAAATGGAGAATTGTATTTACAAGAAGTATACCATAAATGTAATTAGTCTTGTCAATGTGTATTTATTCTAAAAAATCTTATTGAATAAATCTAATTTGTTTCATTTCCAAAATAAAATGGTGTTAAATAAAAATTTTGTGTTTAAATTGAAAATTTCCCATTAAAGCTAGCTCTATAATATGTTTATGTTTTCAGAAATGTTAGTTAATAAGTATAATGTTAGTTTATAAGTGTTATTATATTAATAATATAATAGTTTATAAGATTATAGATGTATTTCAAAAAAACCTGCTTGATTGCTTGATTGCTTGAGTTTTATTGGGTTTTTTTAGGCGGGTTTTATAGGGTGAGTTTTTTTATTCCAACCCTGCATTTGTTACTTTGAACACTATTCAACAAAATGTCATGAATAAATTTTTTTTATCTCAACTAATTACATAAGATACAACTTTTTATACTTATTCTATTATTTTGAATGTCACAGTGTATATGTAATGTTTTAATTTTATTTTGAACGTCACAGTGTATATGTAATGTTTTAATTTTATTTTGAAGTCACAGTGTATATGTAATGTTTTAATTTTATTTTGAATGTCACAGTGTATATGTAATATTTTAATTTTATTTTGAATGTCACCGTGTATATGTAGTATATGCGGTAGTGGCAAGAGCGCTCGCTTTGTAAGCGAGCGCTTCGGAGTTCAACTCCCACCATGTCCCTGGAAATACTGCGCTCAACTTAATTTCTCCGCGCAGCGGTCTTGCTTGTCAAGGTTCGTGTTTCGGAGTTAAAGAGTTGAGAAAGGGTTGTACCACGATTCACAACAAAAAAAAAATAATAAAAAATAAATAAAAAAAAATTGAGTAGCCTCCTCGACTGTAGTGGCCCCCTCGAACCTTGGGGAGGTGAATAATTCATCAAAAAAAAAGAAGCCATAAAAAAAAAAAGTAGCCTTAAAAAAAAAAGAGACTTTAAAAAAAAAAAAAGAAGCCATCAAAAAAGAAAAAATCAAAGAACTATCGATTAGAAAAGCTTCAAATTTATTTAACATAAAAAGAAGAACATTAGAACATCATGGCCATCCAACAAGTTTAAATGAATTTAAAAAAAATAATATTGTGAAACATGTACAGACAGTCTGTGATTGGGACTTCCCGTTTACCTCCTTCGATTTGAGAGTAGCTGTAAAACGCTATTTAAATACCACTGGAAAAAATGTACCTTGTTTTAAAAACAATACTCCTTCACATGAATAGTAAAATTGGATTTGCATTGCTACAAAAACTTTCTAACAATTATGCCAAATTATTAATAGTGTTTGTGCGAAATAACTAGAACTTCAGTTAATAAATATTTTGATAATTTATAACATTTATTAAAAGTCGAAAATGGAAACATTTGCTTCAAGGACTTTTAACTTTGATGAAACAAATGTGATCCATGATCCTAGTGTTGTTAAATGTTTGTTTATGCGTGGAACAAAATATCCAGAGCAAACTAAAGAAAGTACATAAGCAAGGATTACTATAATGTTTTGTGGTTCAGCAGCGGGGAACATTTTGCCTCCTTATGTAGTTTACAAATCTCAAAATTTATGGAATTGCTGGACTGATGGTGGACTGATGGTGGGTTAAGAGGAGTAATATACAACAGAACAAAATCTGGTTGGTTTGAAGCAGAGACAATTTCAGATTGGTTTGAGAGTTCTTTTTTGCCATA